AAAGAAAATGAATATTCCCAACTTTGTTGTGATGCACTGTTGGACTCTATGAAGAAAAAGGATCTCTTGAAGGTGAAGTATTTTACAATGAAGTCTTCTTTTGAATACTTAGATATAGATTAATCAGTAGTAGTTTCCCCCCCCCCCCTTTTGTTGAATTAAAGATGTAAGTAACAATGAAATTGTAAGTGCGATAATCAAACCTGTGACCTCCGACTTAGCGAACTTTCATTCCATTAGACTATAACATTGATAGTAGTACTAAATGCTTGGTAGGTTAATAAAACATGTAAGATGCAAATTTTGAGAGGAAGTGTGTATATATATACACAAATACATGCTTTAATAGAGTATCTTGCTCCAAAAACATATACTACTTTCGGTTCTTAATATAAAACCTCGTTTGACTTTTATTTTGGTCTAATATATAAGACCCCAATCTATTTTGTCTCTCATATTTATTTATTTATTCCAAATAATTCTTTTAATAATAGTTGTTCTAGCCAGCACACTTGATTAGTGAGGATATTTTAGAAAAAAATAATATATTTATTATAAATAATTAACTTAGCTTATTTCCTTAATCTATTTAAATTAGTAAACTAACTTTCATATTTAGGACCGGAGATATTATAAGACATCAAGTTATGTCTCTTGTACTTCTTTCTCAATTATCCAATTATAAGATTTCTTCCCCCTTGTGTGTATTGTGAAGATGCAGAAGCTATGTTGGAGAAGGCAAAAGAATACCAGAAGATGATGAAGAAAACTCCAATCCCAAGAGCTCGCCTTTCAAATCTGGTGGTAGTGAACTGGAAAGGATTGGCCAAAACACTTGAGAACTCGTTCGGACAGCGTCTTCATTATCTGACCCACATGCTCTGTAAGCAATGGGACAAGTCCAGATTTGGAGCAGAAGATGGGGAGAAGCCATTGGACAGCATTGTTAGTGCAGAGAAGGCAGAATCTATGGTATGGGAAGTTGAATCAGTTCATAGGCTCTCCACTTCTCATGTTCATCTCGCAAGTCTGTGGCTCAATGATCCTCACTTTCAGGCTTTTGTTGATCAAGTTATTGTTCCTCCTTCTTCATGATTTCTTCCTAATTACTCATTCTGTTGAACTTGTTTGAATTTTGTTGGGACAATTAATGTTTGGTGGGAGATTTTCGTTGTTGATTTGTGATGAATTGTCTGCATGTCATGTGGATAGTCATGGTGGTTTATTTCATTTACTTTCTTTTTTTAATTAGATGGACAGGTATTAACAGTTTAAAATTATTGACGAGGTTGAATCTGTTACTTTTTATTTAATAAAAAGTTTTCATACTACTAGACTATAAAGTTATTGGTATCTTTTGCAATTTTAATGTCATGCATATGCAGTCAACAACATAACTCATAATCAATTTACAAAAAATTCTTTTGTGCTTCATGAAGCAAATTCTTCTTACATACTTTGCACAGAGCCATATTACTTAAGCTAAGTTAATCCAAATACACAAAAAAAGATATTGTTAGGATTTTATAAAGAGAGTTTTTAGAAAGGAAAAAATCAAAGAAAAAACTAATTTACAGCTTCTTCTAGTTTATATCAATTTTAAATCAGGTCATCTTAGTTTATTTCTTTTGACTTGGATCCTTATAGTTCAGCTCCTTAGATCCATTCATCTATCCTGTCATTCTAATGAGTTGAGGGTTGACCGATCTGACACATAGACGTAACCATGTGACTCGGCCGCCAGATGGATTAACTCTCAATGTTGAGAGGCCTCGACTTCATCCTCATCCTGTCTTGAGCCCTGCTTATCCAAATAGGCTTGGATTTACTGTTTGTGCAATTACCAACATACCCCGAAGAAACATATCAGTCACCATTCTGATATGCAGCCCACACGAAACATTTCGGTCACTATCCTGATTTTGTTTACGTTACCCAGTAGACATTAAAAAGATACTAGATAGGGATAAGGTGTATCTAACATTCTGAAATTTTTTTTTTTTTAGATACATCCTGCTTTCTAAATTATTTTTTGGTGCATATAGTATCCTGTAGTATTTTTTCAAGTGCGTACAATGTTTTGGTACATCCAGCACTGTATAGTATTTTTTTCAGATACCTCTAGTGTCTGAAAATATTTTTTGATGCATCTAACATCAAAACAAACAAAATACTTGAAAGTGTTGGACGAACATAAAAAATACTTGAAGGTACTGAATGCACCATAAAATACTTTAGGATACTGGATGTATCTGAAAAAATACTTCAAGATGTTAGATGTACTTTAACCCTACTAGATATATAATCTAATGATACACAGATGTTACAATTAAGTCATTATTTAGCTTTCTCAATTCTCCAAATTAATCAATTAAGTCTTATATTAAAAATTAGAGGTACTATGTATATATATCAACCAACAAATGCTAGTCCAGTTGGTAAGGAATTGACTTATAACTCATGAGTTTGTGAGTTCATATCCCATTGTTAAGTGTTAAGTGAGGATCTTGTTGGTAGACTAGTGAGTGATCTATAAGTATATATTTTTGTAAATGCTTTTTGAAGTTAGAAGCATGTCTTTGATTCATGATATTAACACTAATAAAAAAAAGTAAATCTTTAATTAAGTTACCATAAATTTCTTGGAAGAATTTAAATACGTCTCAAATGAAAAAATTAATTTTTTTACGTATAATGCAAAGGGATTACATGTAAATGTTAAAGGTTAATATATAAATAACATCTAAAAAATAATTAATTTTTTATTTACAATGTGTTCTTAATTGTTACCCTTTTTTCCCCCTTAAATATCTTAGCAATAGTGTAATACTACCAGCTAATATGGCGAAATCAGGAAATTAATTTCCGCGTTAAATCTCCATGCTACAAACAAAATATTCATTTTATGTGATATTTCGAAAGTCTTTGTAAACAATAAATTCATTACGTGTAATATTAATTGTTTTATGTTTGAATGTGTTGTTTTTTTATTTAATACAAAAAGTTTAAATGAGTTGGGTCAGAACATGCCTCCAGGCTCAAAAAGCGCTTACAGAGATACTTACAGATTGCCCACTAACAAGGTCCTTACATCAACAGCGGGATTCGAACTCACGACCTTATGGGTTATGAGTCAACTCCTTACCAATTGGACCAACTCTTGTTGGTAAATACTCCTCCGGTCCTTAATATAAGATCCATTTAACTAATTTGATTAGATTAAGGAAGTTAGGTAAGTTAGTTAATTGTAATAAATATGACACGTTTTCCTAAAACACTATAATCATCTTCTCAATACCCCCTCTCCCTCTTCTACTTGATTATGGTTGAGGGAGTATCCATAGGGATAATTTAGAGATTATTGATAAATATGAAAAATGGGTCTTATATTTAAGACCAAAACTAAATCAATAATTGGGTCCTATATTAAGGACCGGAGGAGTACGTTGTTAAATCTTAAGTTAAACGTCTCTTCCAAAGATATGCAGATCAAGTGGGAATAAATGTAACCTTTCACATAATGCCCGTGAATATTTTGATTACAAAAGGAAAAATAAATAACTGAATGACTTAAAATAAAATTATACTAATTCAAGGGTTTTTCATTGAAATAAAATACTTAATAAACTTCCCTATGACGGAACTACAGCGTCACCTTGCGATCGTACAAATACTTGTAAATTTTATATTAATATATTGATATATTTATGATTAGTCATGCTTGACTAATTAGTCTAGTCAATATCCGGCCAAAAAAAAAAAAATAGTCCAGTGAATATTCATAAGGGCATTTTGGGAAGGACAAGGAAACGCAAGCAGAACTTTGTTGAATAGTCAAAACAATAAAAAAGTTCTACCAAGGATCTACTTTTCCTTTCCTTACTTTGTTTTTTTAATGCTACTACCTCTAATCCTAATTATAAGAATTAATTGACTAATTTGAAGAGATTAAGAAAGTAATTAGTTATTTGTCTTAAATAGGTGTTGTCTTTCCTAAAATATCCTTACTAATCAAGTGTATTGGCTAGAACTACTATTGTTAGAAGAACTATTTTGAAAAAAAAAAAGTATAAATATGAGAGAGAAAGTGAATTAGGGTTTTATATTTAGGATTAAAATAAAAATCAAATAAGATTTTATATTAAAGACCGGAAGTAGTATTATTGAATAGTATAAGTTTGACTGAGTCAAACAAACAGTGCACGGGAAATTCACAAAGAAAGTCAAATTTGAGCTTCATAATAAGAAAGTCAGCAATGATTGTAGAGAAAATTCAGAGGAAAGTACTTGAAACGATTCAAACAATATTTAAACATCCTGTATATCATAAAATATATGAAAATTTAAGCATGGTGCATTGGTGTAAGTAACAAAAATTTTAAAAAAAAAAATTACACAACTTTCTTTTGAACTTTTCTAAAATTACATGAACATTTACTCCATTTTCAAAACTTGGGAGGATTCCTCCCAAAAAATAAGAAATATATTGAGTAACCAAATAATTTGATAAAATAGAAGTAGGAATGTATGTAATACAAGTTTAGAAGTTTTTAAAAGTAGAAAAAGGTCCATATAATATACTCTTCTGGTCCTAAATATAAGACCTTTATATTTAGAACCGGAGGAGTAACAAAATTAAGCGAAGTTTGTAGCTAGGTTTGATTGACAAAACTTCAACTAGAGAAGCATTGGTTTAAATAATATTTTTTTTATTTGATAAAGATTATCCTTTTTTTCAGGCTTGGAGTGCAAAAATTTTTCACCTCTTCCAACAAATGTGTTCTTCAGGATTTAAATTTCTGTTTTTCTGTTTATAAAAGTAAAACTACTTATTGCCTCAATTAACAATAAGAAGTGATCGATTTAGAAACACATAAAAATACCAAAAGAAAAAATTAAAAGGGAAGCATTACCTTAACAAGCTTTTGTCTCAAAGCAAGGGAAATCCGCAATGATAGATACGAAACCTCAAATCAAACAAAAACAACAAAGTGGCTTTAAATTCTTCAAGACAAGAAAAAAGGATCAGTAAATTAGGGCATAAATACTGCCAGTAGCTTCATCTCATAAGGAAATTCTAATTCCAGCAAGATGACAGAATACATAATACAAATAATATCATAGCAGTAACACAACTTAGAAGACTACATCATCAAATATCAGTACATGCCTGTAACTCTCTTAATCATAAGAGTAAATAGAAAGACATGAAGATAACAAATAGTACCAAAAATTCCTTGACCACAAAATACAAGGCAAGGAATATTCAATAGGACAATAGCAATATTACAGACTCTAGGAAACGCGGTGCCGCAGCCAGTCACCGGGGCACCAAACTAAAAAAATGAAGGACACAAGAAGTGGGATGCATTGAACAAAAATTTATCACCATGGCATGGCTTATTGCAGCTTATGAAGCCTATATGAACCTGTTGAAGTGTTGTTTGTGAATAACACTTATTTGGTTTCTGAGGGGAAAAAAATCGTGAGGAAAGAAGAAAAAGCCGCAAAATCTTCAGTTTCTCTCTCTCTCTCTCTCTCTCTCTCAGGCCAAAATCTGTACATCTCAAAGATGCCTGAACTTGGAGTGCCTCCACCTGTCAGGCTTCATCATCCTCCTGTTATTTTCATTGTTTCTGGGTTTCAACATTCGCTCTACTTCCATTTCTGACTGAAGAGAAGACTGCAACTTCTTCAAAAGTCCGCAGCACTGCTCGTGGTTAAGGGAATTGTTATCGTTGTTTGTGTTATTGCCTTCTAAACGTATGTATCTTTGGTAAGGTGATTGCCACTTAGCTTGCAAATACGCTAATGATCTCCAAGGTGGAAGAGGCATAGAATTCTGCTTCAATGAAGATCTAGCAGCATCCGCCATTATTCCAAGAAACTGTTTCAGTCTGGAGAAGGAACCCACGTAAACAACTGGAAGAGAATTTAATATCCTTTCATATGAATCAACAGCTCTAGCTATTTCGAAGTGGCTCCGGAAATCTATATCAATAATCAAACGCTCAGAGGTTCCAAAATTATCATCAATCACATCAATATATTCATTGTCACCTGCGTAACAGTTGAAAGAGAAAAAACATCAGCTGGAAACACAAGCAAGATAATGTCAACTGCTTGTTTGAAACACACTAATTCTCGTTATTTTAATGGTCAAAAGCAATCGATTATGGATGCTCAGCAGAACAGGCAAAAGTAAGATATCATAAACATTGTTAGATCACATACCTCCAGGAACCTTGCCACTAGCCTGCCATTTGGAGGCACAAACACCAGCGTCATAGCCAGAAAGTCTCAGTAGCTTCACTAGATAGAACCTGATACAGCTGGCATAACATGGACTAGAATTGCTAGACCGAAGGTTGGCCTCGTTCATTGACAATATGAGAGAATGAACCACTGACAGTAAGTCACTCTCATACTGAACCGCTGAAAGCTTACCGATCTGTGCCATGACACATAACAGATAATCAGTGATCTTGTCAAAAAGCTTTTCCTTCTCTAGTTCCTATTTCTGTTCTTCATAAGAACACAACATGAGTTTATACAATTGTGGGGAAAGGGGAAAAGAAAGGAAATTCTAAAACCCACCACTCATACGTCCACTCAATCAATAGGAGAATAAAATAAGAAAAAGAAAAAACAGGGGAAAGGCATCAGCATGTTTGTTAAAACTCAAGTAGTTTGAGACACTCACTATAGTCCTGGACATCACACACAGGCAGGCCTCAAAAACCATGCATTTGAAACACTAGGTACTTGATATCACATGCTTATGCCCAGAAGTAATTCCGAAAAAGGATGGATTGGAACTTGAAACAATGGACAGTGAGAGTTAACATATAAGAAACGACTACTTCAAAAATCAAAAGAGCTCCACTCCCTATAATCTAACAGAAGCTAAGACGACACACTAGGAATTCAATACACATGTGAACACAGACTGCACAGACATCGTTATCCCACTACCCCTTAAAACAAAAACATACAGACAGATATATGATAATGAATACCAAGATGCAACGTATTCAGTTAGCCAGATTTTATAGATTGTTGTCAATCCTCAGCCTATAGCTACATGACTCATGACTCATGACACTCCCCTCCCCTGTTCCACTGATTTACACAAGTCATCAAAGCGCAACATTGAAAACTTTAGCTCCCTAAACGCTATTACAAATGGAGAAGAGAATATAGGTAAAGAAGAAAATTTAAGCTCTGACAATTTCTTCATTGCAAAAAAAAATAAAAATAAAAATAAAAATAAAGCACGATTTGTCACTTTTGACCCCCTCTTATGCATGCTGAGGGGAAGTGCCTATTGAAATGTCCATTTATATACCCTATATGATGCTTCACCCAACATAAAAAAGCATACCAAAGCATTACAATGAAACTCGAGATATATTAAAATCTTCTATGCTCAATAAAGTGTCTTCTGAAATATGAAGACCTAGTACAACAAATAAAACAGGTTGTGTATGGAAATTAAGAAGTAGATTCTCAAATTCAACCAACATTATTTAGCATTAGGAAAGGCATGCTAAATAGGTGAGATCCTATATAGCAAACTGAGTGACGTTTCAAACATATACTGTGCAAGAATGGAGCAGACCAGTCTAAATCTCTTCACATGATCAAATATTCTATGTTCAATTCCTGCAATCACTAGTCTCCATAAACAGACAACATATTCAAGTTATAATAGCAAACAACATATAAGAACACAAAAACAAACCAAGGGTAGTCACTAGCAAATTAAAATCAAACGACAGGTGATACATAATTCAGCTATACATTAGGCCATAAAACTTTAGATTACAAGAGGAAATCATAAACAACTAAAGTAAAAACCGCCATAAAAAAAATAAATATGCCTGTAAGATGAGAGCTTCCACAATAATAAAATGTTGCATCATCCAGACAAAGTCTACATATCTAAATAACTTGGATCAGACCACGCTCCAAATTATGATGTTATAGAAGGTCAGACAATATAAACCAAATTTAAGGTAGTAATTGCAAGATGGAAAAAGGTAGATGTAATTGTGCCTACCACCAACAGCAATGACTTTGTTTGAACACACACACACAAACAATATACAATGGTCAATACTTTGTCCTCCAGGGTGATCTTACCAACTAGTTGATCCTTGGGTAAGAATACCAATATATTTCTCTAGGCGAATAGACATATATTTCAGATTCAAAAGCTTCAAGAAGAATATATTTCTCCTGCCAACAAGAGCAATACTAAAAAATGTTCCTCTTAAAGTAATGATGAGCTTTACCTGAATTTTTTCCGCAAGTTGAGCAAAGTCAGAGAGGCCAGAATCGCTATCACTGCTACACCAAGACTCTGCGCCACTACTACCATTCTCCAAGAAGTCACTGACCATCATCGCCAAATCGTGTTCGCTCTCATGGCTGAACCCACCTCCGATCTGGCTCACCCCACCAACGCCCACAAGACCCCATAAATTCGCGGCGGCTACAACCCTGCAATCCATCCTTCCGCCGCTAACGGAGTCGCTTCACTTCACCAACCACAATCAAACGGCACCGTCAAACAACAATCACACCCAAAGGCACGCAACAAAAGCCGCGCTCATACACGTCCTCCCCAACCGACCCGAAAATTCTGTCGTCCAGAATTGCCTTCCTCAAATTCAAAACCCAATTGATAAAAAATAATCGAATCCGCTTCAAATTAAGCTGAATTCAAAAGGATCCTTCTAGTTTCCAAGGACTTTTAATTCTGCAAATTTTTTTTTTAAAAAGAAACTCAAACTTCTGAATTATGTATATTTGTCTTCGCGAGACTCAACAAAATCGCTAGAGCTTATTAACCATGATGGCCTTTCGATCCAGAGGAAACAACAAGAGAAGGAAGAAGAAGAAGAAAAGAATCGGAAGAAAGAAAAAAGCTTCTCCTGCAGAATCCAAAAAGAAGGAAGGAAGGCGAATTTGCTGGAGAAAGAAACCAAATAAATAAAAAAGCTGTTGAGGGAGAAGAGTGAAATTACGATTATAACCTCAGAGAAATTTGGATTTGCGGTCCCTTTCTTGGCTCAACGGAAATGGAGAGGAAATGGATAAGGCAAAAGGTGAGGAGGATTCGATGGAACAGACGACAGAGAAGGGAATATTCTTTGGTATAATATCTGTTTCATGTGCTGGATTTAGTTTTCTGAACTAACTTTTCTTCACCAACATTACTGTATTTTTTTTTTTAATATCTCAGTTATTTGCTTTTTCTTTTTTTTGAAAAATTCAAATTTCTAAATTGGGAATTTCTTATCCAGGGGGTAGAATCTATTTATCATCTCCAGCTTCACTTTTTTTTTATAATTTACATATTGAATTTACGAGGGATTTTCACTTGGGGCATCTAATTCTAATAATTAGAATTAAGATTCCGTTGGAAATAAAGATCAGGTTATTTTTAATTTTGTATAATATTTGTAATTTTTTTTACAAGTTATTCCGTAATAAATATTTTTTATTCAATAAAAATATTTTTTAATTATCATATTTGTTTTGTATTTTCAGATTAAAAATATAAGATCTGAGAGTCGATTATACTTTTTATGAGAAAATTAATGAATTTTAAAAAATGAGATAAGTAAATTAAACTATTTCTTTTAAATTCTTCATAGTATGATAAGTTGGATTCCGAATCCATCCACTAATCCGGCCATAATATGATAATATAAGAACTAAAAAATTAATTTATAAATATTAAAAAAATTAGTTAAGTAAATCATTTATAATAAATATACATTGCCTTTCTAAAATATTCATAATAATTGTATACATTGAAACTACCATTTGATGAATGTGTAATTAATATAAAAATTACTTATGAGCAAAATAGATAATATAAAAGACAAAATGAATTAAGATCTTATATTTAAGATTAAATTAAATCTATAACTAGTTCTTCTATGTGAAAAAGTGTATTTGATCTGTATTTCATGGGAGCTCCTAACTTAAATATGTGTTACTTCACATCGGAGGTTAATTATAACTAAATTCCAAAAAATTCGAGAGTACTTTTCACCATTTTATGGACTTTATCCATAAGTAAGCCTGATAATCAAAATGTTACTGGTAATTTTGCCATAAATAAATTAACTTTTATATTATAAAAATTGTTTATATCTTAATAATAATGTATTTCAATTTATAGTATATATAATCACATGACTTAATTTTGTTCCCAAATAGTATTTTCAAACTTTTCAATAAGAAAGGAAAAAAAATAATATTTTCATATTCTAATTCCAATATATGTTCTCTGCGATGAAAACTAGTCTAATCTAATTTTAGAATATTTAGGAATTCATTCATGAAAAATGTGAGAAATTTGACAATATAAGCAGCCTTCTGAAATTATTTAGGACAAAACATAACATTTTAAACTTTTATACCTTACACTTAATTATTCTATAAATACTACTAGCCAAAAGAATTAACTATTCTATAAATACATAGGTTTTTAACAACTCAAAAAAATTGAAAAATATGAAACGAGCTAATTCATTGATTTTTTTTTCCTGATGGATAGAAGACAAAAAGTGGTTAGAACTCCTCTAGTTCTATTTACAGGAAAAAGAGAGAAGAAAATTTTGGATCCTATTTATAAGTCAGAAAGAAAATTTTTCTATATGAATATATAGTTTTACCATTTATTTAATTTTGTGCTGATTTTGTTTAAATAAAGCATAATATATATTAAATAGAGATAAAGTTGAAAAGTTGTTAAATTTTAAATAAGAGTTAATAAAATTTAAGATTTTTCTTGACGTGTATCAAATAAGGAGCAGATCCTCTCATCAGTGATTTTCTCCTCATCCCTCATTATCTCTAAATCTCATCCATCCAATAGATCTGAGAGTTAAAAATGCACTATAACACCAGGCTATTAAAAATGAATCTTCACTATCCAAGTGTTGTGATCCTGACCGCAAATTTTCACCTCTAATACTTCCTAATTTCAGTTTGGCGGGAAACATAATTCCCATCATTCCATTGTCGACTTTGGAGAGAGTTTCGACGTGCATTGTCATTTTGCTGACTTCATTGCATAAAATAGATATTTGGTGGCTTTATCTTCATTCCAAGAGGGGTAAGACAAAAATATCTCTCTGTTTTTTTTTTCGTTTAACAATAGATAGTATCTTTTTTAAAAGCAAACTTATCTCTATTTAGAATTTTTTTTCCCATTTTGTTGTATCTATTATAAAATTTCTTTGCATGTGTGTTTTTTTTTGGATGTGAATCGTGGCTTTATATGTTTTATTTGTTAAGATGTTTTTAAATTTATATAGTTTCAAATTTTATTAGAAGTTTTTATTATATGTTTTGCACGGATTTATTTTGCAGGTTTGAATCTATGTAAACTGATTTGACTCTTAGATTGGAGGAAGAATTTGATCATTTATAGGAGGCATAGAAGTTTTGGAATGAATATACCTGTAAAGTAGGCTTTAGTGCAAGAAAAAATGGTGAGTAGCAAGATGCTTTAAGAAAGAATTTGATAAGATTACGAAGAATTTGATAAGATTACAACTCCATCCTGTACAAAAGGGCAAAAATATAGAGGAAGAGTTGTGAAATTCATACCCAACCCATAAGATGCTTTAAGTACAGCAATGGAGATCTTCTCATTGTGCCTTATGGTGAGTAATGACAGAGCTCCTATTTGCATCTTGATGCTGCTTGAACTTCGATCAAAGTACGGGAAGAAGAATCATTACTGCTACTGCTAGGGATTGGCAGAATTTGAAACTGAATGGACAATCAAGATTATAACAGAACGGACGGTTTAGATGTGATTTTAAAAGTCCCATGACATGTCGCATTTTTAGTTCCCAAACCTATTGGATGGATGAGATTTAGAGATGATGAGGGATGAGGAGAAAATCGTGGATGAGAGGATCTGCTCCCGTACCAAATATGTTGAAAGTTGAAAGTGACGTATACATCCTATTAATTTTAATATCTAAGGATGACATGTGATATCAAAATATACTACAATGCCATGTCGTCACATTATTTTATATAGTGTTTTTTTAATGAATATCAATATTTAATTAATGTGATAACAACATCTAAGAATTTAAGACACACTCCACCAAACAGAAAATTACCAAACTCGTAATTAAGCGTAAACTGTGAAACCAAAGTCGGAAACACTGGGCATTTATTGCAGAAGTTGCAAACTTCAAAGCGCTGGTGAAATTGGAAATAAGATAATGAGGGGAGGGCACTGTGGTAATTTGAGAAGAACAGGGAGGAGGATGTGTTTTCGTGTGGACCAAGTCACTTTAAAAGATGTTGAAATTTGAAATATGAAGCCAAACGGAAAATTCCATTAAAGCGAATAGAAAATAATAAAGACAAAGCGAGAAACTACGCGTAACGATCGGTTCTTCCTCCAGCTCATTCACGTGTTTGCTTCTGCTATTTATTTGGCATCTAAAATTATTATTGCTATTATTATTAAATAGAAAAATGAAACTCTTTCTCCTCAAGAGTTTCACCCAATTCGCACCCAATCTCAGTTTAGAAAGTAATAGTTAAAAGAATAAAAATTCATTTTAGATGAGATTTATTTAATGTCGTATAATACCCAACATTTGAGGACTATTTATTTAATATTGTGAAAAAAGCAATAATATAATATAATTATTTATATATATTTATGTAATAACAATATTTATTATAATAATTTTGGATATACATGTCATTATAATAATATTTATTATGAAGTAGATTTTTCCCAATTTTTTTTAAACTACTATTGCAAGCTGTTCCGATTTTAGTAGTTTGCTTTTTCAAGTGAGGATCCTCTTCCATCCTCAGAACATTAGTTTTCAGCATTTAATATGTTTTTCTCTGTATCCTCAAAGGGTAAGATGCATCCAGCATGCGAAAATATTTTTTCAGGTGTATCCCAATATCTTAAAATATTTTGTATTACATCTATCATTTTGCAATATTTTTTAAGTATTTTTTAGTATTCTAAAATATTTTTTTCAAGTGCGTCTAACATTTTCAGTATTTTTTTAGTGCATTAAATATCTTAAAGCATTTTTTTTAATTGCAACACCAAGACAAAAAACATTCAACACATGAAAAATATTTTAAAGTCCTAGATGCAATATAAAATATTTTAGAATATTTGATGTGCGGGAGAAAATATTTCAAGTTAGCTGCTTAACCCTATCCTCAAATATCTGGCAACACATCGTGATCACAAGGGCGATCAAAGATTTCAGAAGCTATGACCGGCGGGTTAATTTGGGCTGTGGATCAATAAAGAGAAACCAGATAAGTAGGGTTGGAAAATGGAGATGTTGTACCACTGACCATTTACTGAGAGCTGATAACAACGATTCCTCTTATAACACATACTTTCTCACAGAGGATGTTACTCTGTTGATCCTATTTATAAAGTATTTTTAATATGTTTTATATATATCAAGAAAAACTTTAAACTGCATTAACTCTTCATTAAAATATAATAATTTTTCAACTTTATCCCTATTTAATACATACACCTTTAAAAAAAATAACTATCTGTATTATAATAAATGAAGGACAATATAGTACATTCATGATAAAAATTTAATGAAGTGATTTATAAATAGGAAAAAAAACTTTATCTCTCTACCCTATAAATAAGACCAGAGGAGTATGTTGATATATCATAAGAGAATTATACTTCTTCTGATTTTAATTATAAGACTTTGTTTGTAAACTATAAACGAGATCTTATAATTAAGGTAGGAGGTAGTATTAACTAACTATGGAAAGTGAAATTGATATGTTGAAAGGTTATATTTGGACCGAATTGATTATAGGATGACTGAATTGGAAGCTTAAAAACTCTTCCAAGTTTCAATAAACAACAACAATCTTTTTCCCATCCAT